AATATTTTGTACGTCACATTAACATATCTAGTGTGCACACATTCACCTGCTAAATCTCTTGATCTGTTTACAGGCATATTACCAGCGTGGCTTAGTGAGAATGAGATTGAAACAGTCTAAAGGTGTACAAGATTTCAACAGAGCTCTAGCCATTAACCCAACACTCTACCAGGTAAGTTATTTATTTAATATACTCAATACAATGTATTTGTTCTACATGTACTTCATTTTTGTCAACACACCAGGGTGATTGGATTGCACTTTAATCAGCATCATTAAAATTCTATTATTAGCCACTAATGTTGCAAATTAGTTTAAACTACAAAGCCAGGAGAGGTTTGTAATAAGTACATGTACATAACATTAATTTGAATTTTAAAATTTTCAGCTGGTTCAAAGAAAGATTTCAGAGCTTGTTCTGTATTAAAACAAATGAATTTATATGGTTTTCATTAATTGGATTTGTCTTTATTTGGCATGACCATAGATGTGATGTTCTGATTGCCCATAATTTATCAAAATTGTTGGACTGCATTTAAAATCTCAATAAATGATTTTCTGTTCAAGAAAATTTCCACAATTTTTAGGCAAATTCTGTGTTCAGTTGCCAACTTGTGTTGGCTGAGGGCATGTTGATGGCAGGCTAACTAAGTAATTACATGGCCAGTTTGTATGTGATGTCTAAAGGTTTGACCACAACTAATAACAATCACGCCAATGTTTATACATTCACTAGGAGTAAGCCAACTTTAGAAGTATGTGAATACAATGTATATGGTAGCAGCTACATGTATAAGGGTGCAGTTAGTAATAGGGATAAGGTTAACAATATGACTGTAATGGTATCCTTGCAACAAACAGATTTCAATTAGTTGAGGTCTGTTATTAAGGCTGAACATGCAATGATATTAAAGTCCTTATATGGATTTCTGACTGTTTTACAATGTACTTCCCGTCCTCATTGCAGAGACAATGTATGAGTAATATTAGGCAGTAAATACTGATTGTTGATTGTATTTGTTCCAGGCCTATCTGAGTAGAGCTGCTTTCTATGGTATGAAAGGTAGATACAGCAAGGGTATTATCAATTGTAATGAAGCTATTAAACTACAGCCTCACAGTGTTAGAGCATATATGTATAGGTGAGTAGTACTACTTTCACTGATGATTTAGGAATCAAATTTGTCTGTTCAATCTGGTCTAATTGTTTATTTAGTAAGGACTGAATATGAGGAGAGTAATATTCATCTCCAACAAAAACAAATTGCCAAGATTTTTCAGGGGGCAATAATTCAAGGGATTATCTGTTCTGTCTTCACTGTTTTCCAACTGAGTATTCCATTACTCAGACTGTATTGACTATATTGCTATTACAGTATGTAACAATATTTTTATGTAGTATACTGTATTAGGACATGCTTGTCAATGATGTATGAATGTTATGTTAATTTAATTTTAAGGTTGCTCAATACAGTTTTCCAAATGTTGTGGGTTCAGAGTGGACGCGCAGGTGTTTTCTTGTGAGAATGTTTTATTGTTCATGTATATGTATAGGGAAAACCTTTGTGCGTCCATGCATCTGTGACACATTGTTCCCTTACCGGTACAAACCTGCCTAAACTGAACCCTGTGTAGTTCACAAACCTGTCTAAACTTAACCCTGTGTAGTTCACAAACCTGTCTAAACTGAACCCTGTGTAGTTCACAAACCTGTTTAAACTGAACCATGTGTAGTTCACTAACCTGTCTAAACTGAACCCTCTGTAGTTCACAAACCTGTCTAAACTGAACCCTGTGTAGTTCACAAACCTGTCTAAACTGAACCCTGTGTAATTCACAAACCTTTCTAAATTGAACCCTGTGTAGTTCACAAACCTGTCTAAACTGAACCCTGTGTAGTTCACAAACCTGTCTAAACTGAACCCTGTGTAGTTCACAAACCTGTCTAAATTGAAACTTGTGTAGTTCTCAAACCTGTCTAAACTGAACCCTGTGTAGTTCACAAACCTGTCTAAACTGAGCCCTGTGTAATTCACAAACCTAGTACACTAATCTGTCTAAACTTAACCCTGTGTAGTACACGAACCTGTCTAAACTGAACCCTGTGTAGTACACGAACCGGTCTAAACTGAACCCTGTGTAGTACACAAACCTGTCTAAACTTAACCCTGTGTAGTACACAAACCTGTCTAAACTGAACCCTGTGTAATTCACAAACCTAGTACTCTAACCTGTCTAAACTGAACCCTGTGTCGTACACGAACCTGTCTAAACTGAACCCTGTGTAGTACACAAACCTGTCTAAACTTAACCCTGTGTAGTACACAAACCTGTCTAAACTGAACCCTGTGTAATTCACAAACCTAGTACACTAACCTGTCTAAACTGAACCCTGTGTAGTACACGAACCTGTCTAAACTGAACCCTGTGTAGTACACAAACCTGTCTAAACTTAACCCTGTGTAGTACACAAACCTGTCTAAACTGAACCCTGTGTAATTCACAAACCTAGTACACTAACCTGTCTAAACTGAACCCTGTGTAGTACACGAACCTGTCTAAACTGAACCCTGTGTAGTACACAAACCTGTCTAAACTTAACCCTGTGTAGTACACAAACCTGTCTAAACTGAACCCTGTGTAATTCACAAACCTAGTACACAAACCTGTTTAAACTGAACCCTGTGTAATTCACAAACCTAGTACACAAACCTGTCTAAACTGAAACCTGTGTAGTTCACAAACCTGTCTAAACTGAACCCTGTGTAATTCACAAACCTAGTACACTAACCTGTCTAAACTGAACCCTGTGTAGTATACAAACCTGTCTAAACTGAACCCTGTGTAGTACACGAACCTGTCTAAACTGAACCCTGTGTAGTACACAAACCTGTCTAAACTTAACCCTGTGTAATACACTAACCTGTCTAAACTGAACCATATTTTCTCATAGGGGTGCATTGAAGTATCATATCCATGCATTTGACCTGGCTATTCGTGATTTAACAAAAGCTATTGATATTGACAACACATGTTCCCTGGCTTATTTCAACCGGGCAGTATGTTATCACACAATGAAACAGTATGATAAGGTGGGTGTCTGCAGAATTACTGATTGATCTTTTATTATCAGATACATGTATTGTTTTCAATCACAATATTCTTATATTGAGTATGAAAGACAAAATACTACTATGATTGATTATGATAATTACTCATGGACGTCTTGAACCTCTGTCTCTGTCTACCGTCACCATATCGATTGTTGGTTCATTATCTTCAGCAAGTATAATGCCCTCACCAAATGTTGGTATTGGTTCTTTTGTTTTTTGCTATTGAAGAATATAGTCATCTAAATCTCAAAATTTAAAAACATGCCTTAGCCACCACTTTGAGAAGCTTGTACCCTATGGTACATTAGGAGGTTCATCAATGTGTCCTGACATTTTTTTGAAAATACATTCAAATTATTTTTAGCATAAATTTTACATAATTCAGTATTAAGAATTCAGAATTTGTTGTGTGTGTGTCGTAATTTATCCCCATGTGGTGTTGTCGTTATGTTTCATCCTTGTTAGGCATTGAGAGATTATGGTATTGTGTTATTGCTTGGAGAAGAGAATGCATTAAAAGTATTAATTAATCGTGGATTGATGTATTTTGAAAGAAAGGATTATAAAAATGCGTTACAAGATTTCTACAATGCTGTCAAGGTAATAGATGTGCACTTCTTCTCTTATTCTGTCCCGCCTTTGCATCTAGTTGTCTCTGGTATTATCTTGCATTATTGAATGTTTTCTCAAAGTTACTGAGATTACAAGATGTACTACAGTAGAATACTTTATTTCCACTGCAGTGAAAATAAAATCCAGCAAATATTTTTTTTTTTTTCTATATTTCACATTCAACTCATTAAAAATCAGTGAAAATAAATTCCATACAAAACACACAAAAAGCCTTTTCAGAAAAAATTAATTCCAGCTAAAATAAAGTATTATACAGTAATATTCATATGATTTACAGTTACCTATATTTTTTTCTGTTGTGTACAGCACATACATGAAACTTAGTAAGTTTAGATACTTTGATTTTGTCCAATTTTTGTACTTTGGAGTCTACCATTAGGATATACTTTGTATATATAATTTTCTAATTCAGACACCTCAATCCCAAAAATTTCTAATGGTCAACTTCTTACATCTTGAACAAAATCTAACTCAAAACTAAGTGCGGGAAACAAAATTGTAAATTCTTTTGGCTATAAAAAAAACATGCCGGATGCATATTCAATCTGTATTATTATGGGATATATTTTGTTTGTGGCCTTTGACTTATGAAGTAGCATTTGTTATACACCAAATACAACAATTAATCACTCACGAATGCTGGAACTACTGATTGCAATCCATTGCTCATTATACTACTTTTACTATACTTATACTACAGGTGGAGCCCAATGATCCCAAGATAAGGCATACTTTGGGTCTTTGCTTCCATAAGTAAGTTTAACATTCTATATATGTAATGTTACATTAACATGTTTGAATACATTTTCAGAAATTCAAAAACTTTGTCATGAGCTGATGAAATTAAATCAAACTGTTTAAATCCACATAAATCATTATCAAATTTCACTGAAATGATTTATCACTGTTAGTATGATATACAAATTTGAATCATTCTCTTACTATCGAAACTTATACAGATCTGCCAGCAAAGCAAATATTTATTGTAAGACCTCTTCACTTTACAAAAGTTGACGTTTTGGGGATGGCATGTTTCAATTTGAAAAGTAAACAAGAGTTAATGAATTCCTGTTTCCCGATTGTTTCTACTTGCACACAGTACTCATTTGTTACATTGCATTTACTATTCATGTCTCTTCTCTAATTTCACTAGACTTAATAAATTAGAAGAAGCAGTGAAACACATACACTGGGGCATTAGAAGTGGATCGGTATTTCTTAGATGCCTTAATTGGTCGTGGCAATGCTTTTATGGATTATGGACATGACATAGCCACTGTTGCAGCCAGGTGAGCCCAGGGCTGTACTTTTTATGCAAATCTGACATGCTCAATTCTACAAGATTAATCTCATGGTCACATAAATAAAAAAAGGCTGAATTGGTTTATTTGAGCAGATTTTGTGATTTGTATGAACTGATCTTTAGGTCTTTGGATATTTTTAGCATGCTGTTATTGAAGATGTTGGAGTGAAGCTATTATCAATAAAAAAATGAAATTATTGGTATCAACTTTTTTTTGAAAGCTACCAAGTACTGAATCATATAACTTACTGATATTTATTCCAACCTGTACCAACGCAATATCGTACTGTTTTTATGTTTTGAGATTGCTTGTAGACGGTTAGATTATGACTTGTTGCATTTATGTGTCAATTATTGGTAAATATGTTATATTGTGTTGTAGACATGACTATGAGACAGCTATCCATACTGATCCACTTTGTCTGCCAGCTAGAGTCAATCTTGGCTATAACCTTCAGGTCACTGGTAAATTCCAACAAGCATGGAATCATTTTACAGCTTGTCTACAAATAGATCCAGGTAAGCAGAAAGCATCATTCTACTCAAATTGTTATAGAGGTTTTTTAACCTACATTTTTTTATTCCAGACATCCTTGAATATATCATTGATTTTGAAAGCTAAGCTTGAGATGTATGTGTAGTATGTGCCGATTAATTATTTTATATATATATTAAGGTAGCGAGAAAGGGAATTTTCATTTTTTTCTTGATTTTTCATCAAAAGATCAAAATTTCAAAAAGACACTGCTCAAATTAGTGTTTTACCGGTAAATGCTAACAAATAACTACAACTGCCGTTTCGTGGATATTTGCATAATGTATATCTTTGTCAACATTAATGTCAGTCAAGACTTCATCGGTGAAACATGATCATAACTTTGCACAACTTTCATTTAATCGTTTTATTTTCCAAGTCAATATTCTATTTTACTAACACTATCTTACTAACGCAATGACAAGGAAAAGAAAGAAAGCGTAGATGCTGATGAAAAATGAGGCAAAGAAAAACCCAGCGATTTAGTCATTTTTACAAGTTTCGCCATTTTTTTTGTCACATGGTAATTATGTAAACAATAACTGTTGAGTTTGTGTGAACTTGTCCCTTTATACTTTTGAATCATAAACACTAAATTATGGTTCTGAATGAGACAGCTCTATTCAAAAACGTCATCAAACTTTTCTCCCTCCCTTAATGCCCTTGCATAATAATTTCTATGGAATCGTTTGTCCTGAGTATAAAAATTCACATAAAACAATTATTAAAAAAATGGCACATGTTACCGTATCAGTCTGTTTTTGTATTGTAATCCAGTCTCCTGTATTGTAATAAAAGATGTATTTTGATGAATATCAATCAATTTATGTTTAGATTACAAACCAGCATTAGAAGGTAGATCCATCGTATGCCTTCAAATGAGAGACACAGCCGCTGCATTTCAGGACATGAATACAGCTATCCAAATCAGCCCATCTGCTGAGATGCTGACAAACAGAGGTGTTATCCATCAATTCATGGGAGATCGTACAAACGCTGTCAAAGATTACCAAGCTGCGATCAAGCTTGATGAAACCTACTCATTAGCATACTTCAACGCCGCTAATTTGTATTTCCATACGCGCCAGTTCAGACAGGTTAGTATAATTATGAAAAGATTATGATAATCAATTTATGTAGTAGTGAGTACAAACATTATTGATGGATTTACTTTGATTTGAATATTAAGACTGAGAGCTTCTACTTCAGACGCCTGTCTGTATAATATTCCTTGTTACATTACAGCTATACTCAGTTCATTTACAAACATATGCCAGCTTAACATATCATAACGTTAGGTTATTATTCAAAAGTTATTTATACAAATAAAGCAGTAAGCATGAACACAAAATTGGCAGACTGACATGGGTCTTGTTTAATTGCCAGTAGTTATTTAATGGAGGATTGTGCTCACAGTGTAAAACCTGTTTCTCTTGTGATTCGGCTATGTGACGAACCATAATAACATAATAACAAAGTTATTTTTCTCACATATTCATTTTATATCTTGCATTGCTCAATTGTTTTAAACAAATACTATTCATTTTAAACAAAAACTCACAGTTTGTGATCACAGTTCCTACTTAATACATTTCTTTTTTTTTCTTTTTCAAGGCTAAAGACTACTACCAGAAAGCTTTTGAGAATAACCCCAGGGATGAAGCCGCTGTGCTGAACAGAGCTATCACAAAGGTAGGAGTTGATGATTGGAGTTTAGATACAGAGCAGATTGTTATCCCTACTTCCAAACAAAGGCTTTGTGGCATAATCACTCAGCTTGTACCACTTCTCCTATCACTTGCCTCTTACCCCAATGTATCCGGTTCACAGTGTGGAGATAATCTTTCTACTGCATACACCATATGTATCACCATATGTAAAATATATAAATGTTCATGTGATAGAAGGTATACATGTAAAGACTTTTTTTTCAGGTATGATCTGATGAAAATGCCATATAAAAGCTAAAACAAATGAGGTGGTACCTATATCTATACATGATAATTTAATTTGCTCTAGGTTGATAGTGATGTCGTTGGTGAATTGTTATTAGTTTTTAATTCTGTGACATTCCTAGTGCACATGGACACTACTAAGGATGATGGTGATACTACCTATTAAATGTTCAAGTGGAATGAATACCATAACATAATAAAAATATTAAGCATGGTATATTTTATCATCTCGCATAAGAAAGCTTATGGGTGTTCAGTCCTCATAAAGCTGGATATAAAGAGTAAAATATGTACCCATAACTAGTGACATCTACTGCAAGTGAAATGTACTAGCGGAACAAAAATCAGGTTATATTTTGTGGGAAAAGACTATAAAGCTACCAAAAAAAATGTGTTTAAAATGTATGAGAGCTTACAAACAAGTAGACGTTGTTAGACCGACAATCCTGGTTATACAAGTTCAATTGTGAAACACAGACAGC